ATCTAAGTGTTCTGTTCTCCATTTCTTGTCCAGGTTATTTTTATCTGAATGTCCTGTTCTCTATTTCTTGTCCAGATTATTTTTATCTAAATGTTTTGTTCTTCATTTCTTGTCCAGGTTATTTTTATCTAAGTGTTCTGTTCTCCATTTCTTGTCCAGGTTATTTTTATCTAAATGTCCTGTTCTCTATTTTTTTGTCCAGATTATTTTTATCTAAGTGTTCTGTTCTCCATTTCTTGTCCAGGTTATTTTTATCTAAATGTCCTGTTCTCTATTTTTTGTCCAGATTATTTTTATCTAAGTGTACTGTTTTTCATTTCTTGTCCAAATTACTTTTATCTTAATGGCCTGTCCATTATAATTTTCTTGTATCAGTAATAAGTTCTGTACATGTGTAATATTGTGTTGTGGTTTCAATAATAATATCATGTTTGCTCGGCTTAAGGAATTTAAAGCTAATCTTCATATTCCAGCACCTTCTGTTACTATCAGAACAATTCATTACCTTGTGTATAATACACATTATTTTAGGTCCTGACAACAAGCTGATTTTTACATCATTGTGGCATGAAGCCAATGTACTTCTACCCAGCAAACTGCTGGTGGTGACAATTTTTGTTTTTGTCATCTACTCTGGATCATAATTTTATCAAATGTTTATTTTTAGCTGAGTGTACACCAAGATTGATATTTTGTTAATAAATTATGTATATTAATTGTCAGTTCAAGTTTTGTTATTTTCACAAAAATTTTAAATCCCTTAACAGATACACAAATTTTGCAAACTTTTACTTGAAACTTAGTGTTCAAATATCAGTTTGAAAATGTAATAACATGAAATGAGTTATTGTATTTTTAGCAAAGTATACAAAGAAAAAATGTTTCTTTACAATTTGGAAAATTACCTAAAATAGAAATGAAATTTGTATAACAATTGTGTAAATATCAGTCTGAAAATTGAAAGCTGTAAAACAATGATAACTTTAATATGAATTTTAGTATGTTTTTTCTATGTTTATTGAGATTTTCCTCGGGAAGGTAAAAACACTAGGAAAGATGCAGTTGTAAACAAAATATTGAAAGCTGTTTGGTCATCTGTAAAAGGTAAACTATACATCTTGGAAATTAGTAATGGTATAACCATACTTTATAAAGAAATGATGTCTGTGTGTTCACACACATAGGATGAGATACATGTGTGTGTTCACCCACATAGGATGAGATACATGTGTTTAAATAGAAAAACAGGGAAACACTAGTGGATCTTGTTCACCCAGAGGATGAGATACAAGTGTTTAAATAGAAAAACAGGGAAACACTAGTGGATCTTGTTCAC